AGTGCACGACCAAAAGCAGTAGAATCTTGCTGGTGGTCAACAGCTTCTGTATTACAGATGAACACCAGAAATGGGCTTCACACATTATACCCATGTGGGGATTCGAACCCGGGTCTTCGGCGTGACGGGTTCGGGAAGAAGAATCAGTTCCTTGGGATTGTCGGCCTAAAGGTACGGGCACAAAAAGTGCTGTAACGGCCGAAGCTGAATTCTGTACATTAGGGCTTGATCTGATGTCAGAAAGCCTAGTAGCTCCTGCCACTGAGATAGCACTGGAGCAACACATCGCTAGATCTTCATCCACCTGTCTTGAAGGGCGAACATCATCCCTTGACTGGTGTCAAACAATGGATCGATGAAGTGGGGTCTCTGGATCGATGTTAGTTTCGATTCCACAATGTACAATAGCCACCCTAACTGCCGGAGCAGCATGGTGGTGAACTGCAGTTGGCGAAAAAGTACGAATGAATCCTGTTGTGCCTGGATGCAATCATCAATGTAGCTTCGAAGGTGAAGTAGCGCCTAAAGTTGACCTCTGTAAGTGAAGGCTAGTGCTGAGGTAAGGAGACCTAGCAACTCTTGTCACTGATGTAGGGATATCTCTCCTGAGATAGAAACGTTTAAATAGTCAAGCTACCATGGCAGCACTGACCGAAAGTGCTGAATGTAGTAGAGTCGGTACATAGAGATTGTCAATTAATCTACAGGAGCGTTCACACTGTGCAACGGAGTGATGAAGGTCGTAAAATCGGTGATCTCAGGTATATTGGTTCACCAAATGAAGTATTGGTCCGCCAGATGGAGTGATAAAGTTAGTAGATTCGATGCATGGAGATCGTCGATCTACCCAAACATTTGTAAAGTTGCTGTAATGACAAAGGTTAAAAAAGCCCAGCGGCGTCAGGGAAGGTTTATCTGGGAGAGAGGCAAAATGTGCCTGGGGACCATGCGAGTGGAACTGCAGTGACCTCTGAACTGAGGGCTTGGGCTAAAAGTTGAAAGCCGAGGAACTCTCGGTAAACTGTCTCTCTCGGACTGGCTGGCTGAATCCCGACATAATCACTCTTACGGGGAATGGCACTGTTCATCGTCACTGAAATAAAAGGCTGGGATTGTTATCCGCTTGTAGGACCTCGACAGATCTGTCAGTGTACTTCATAGTGACTCTAAATATCATAATTCTCTGGAAAACAAAGGGTCGTCCGCCATTTGCAAATGGTACCCACAATGCAACAGTGACAAAATCAGGAAAATCCGGTGACAACATCTCGTAACATCCCGGCAAGGGGATGATAGCTACTTGACATCAGTACTGGTACCATGCTTGAAACTTGACCCATCTGTCCAGAAGCTTGCTTATGTAAAGGGAAGGGTGATGAAGATGACAAAGCAGGCCATGATTACACCATAGCAGCTGTTCTACAGTAGTTTGTAGTAACAGGACTCAGTGAAGCGTCGGAAAAATTCCTGGATAGCAAGCCTGTCTAGTAACGCACAGACGAGTGGTTGTGGAGCTGATATCTACGCCGAAGGGTAGATTCCTAAACCAAATCATTCATCAAGGTGAAGATCGGAAGGTAGATAAATCCGGAATGATATGAGCTCTGGTCACGTAGTCTAAGTCTGGGAGATCGGGGATCGTCAGAGCGTCAAGAGCCGGCGTAATCTAGATGTCTGTGCTACTGACAGAGCTACTTCATCTGTTCAATCAGCAGAAAGGGGGTACCAGGTGGGATAAGTTATGTGACTAAAATCTTCTAGCGCCTCACATGCCGTAGGGTAATCCGGAGAGCCAAGTCGAATGGTCATGCTAAGAGCATGCCACTCCGTGGTGAGGAATTCAGCGTATCACAAATGCCCTGAATATTAACATCGTGTTGAAAGCTGGTAGAGTTTAATTAACAGCTGGTATAATTGACCGTATCTAGATGCAAGGTCATGATCCTCGATGAGCATGTAAAAAAACAGTGTTGACAAGTTCCGATCCGTCAAGCTGAATGTAGTAAGTAGAGCATCTGGTATCTTGCTCAAGATAGCTGTAGATGAGTGAGTGAGTGAGTATGATCTTCGCCGGATAGCTGTAGCTGTAACCAAGTGACCATGTGTGTCGACTGAACCAACATTATTTCTGTACCTTAAAGGCGGCATGGTTCGGCAATGCTGGCAGTTCGGTGAATACTGATGGTTCGGTGAATGTGAGCGGCTGAATGCTGTCGGATCTGTTGGCGATCTGGCACGGTTCGATGACCAGGATGGGTTAAGTGATCTGGCTCGGCGAGGTAAGATCTGAAGCGGTACTATGATCCGGTTCTGGTGCGGCGACTCAGTTTGGCCCGACGAACTAGTTCGGTGATGAGCAGATCGATCTGGTTAACTAGTACGGGGATGTTGTAGTGAATCAGTTCGGCGATGTGGTTCGGACGAGATGAGCCATTCTGTGCAGAAGAATTAGTTTGACAATGTCGCTGCGAACCGGCCTGCCAAATCGGTTCGACGATGATACTTGGAAGAGTCCAGTGAATCATGGAACGGCTAGTTAAGTCGAAAAACGTAGATTCAGTGACTGCTGATTCGATGAATGCTGGTTCAACGATCTCCGGTTCGAGCAAAGCCGGTCTGGCGAATTTCGGTTCGGCTGAATGCCAATTAATTAGATGCAGCCATGGTTCATTGACGAATGCTAGTTCGTTGAATGCGCATTTCGTCCCTGTCGAGGGAGCAGACTGTTGCTGATTCCAAGCAGTAGTGAATAGCACTCAACATCGCAGCCAGATCTGGGGGAGTAGTAGTTTCCTGCGCAGGAGTCCAGGAATCTGGTACAATCGAGTAGACTAGAGAGACAGCGCGGAGGCAGGAGCCCGTCATAAGTTGTAGTAGCACGCTGATATCTATAATCGAAGCCCGTTGAGTAGATCTCCTATCTGTAGAACCATATTGATGTCTGGAGGGGCCGAACCGGAAGAAGCAGCACATATGGAGACCCGATGAGGAGATCGGGGAACAAGGAGGGAAGTATCATAACGAGAATGAAGATCCCTGGATCTTGAACGATAGGCAGCAGTCGATCGTGTAGGAGATCTAGGTTGATGGTCGAGTGCGTAGAAGAGGAAGTCCCATGCTGACAAGAAGACGAAGTCCGAGGAGGTGACTTCAATCGAAGAACCGATCTCAACAAAGTAGATGGAGGCGTTGCTTAGTTGAATGCAAACGAGTCGAAGAGTGGCGTCTCGGTGGTGAAGTAGACCTACCAGGTCTATCCGGTGAACAAATCCGAAGAATAATAGGAGCCTGGTCCAAACGACTCGGTGAAAGCTGTGTCCGTGCTGAGGAGACATGACTGTAGGATCCAACAGAGTTCGGGGAAGTACACAGATGGTCCGGAGAAGGCGTTCCATTGAATACTGCTTGAAGAAAAGAAAACCGTGAAAGTCGGTTCATCACATGCCGTCTCGGTGAAGTCTTCCGTTTCGTGACGTTGATTCGGCGAAGTTCGATTAGAGTGAAGTCTGTTTAGAAGACAATCGATCCGAAGAATGCCGAAGCGTACACTGGCCTTCGATGTCGGTAAATCTCGTAGGGAAGGTGGACAGGGAAGGTGGACAGTCGAAGGTGGAGGTGGAGGGCGGACAGGCAAAGCGTGATCCTGCGAACTGTGATTCGATCTGGCAGGCTTCGGTGAAGCAGAAGATCAAGGTAGCTGGATGCAAGACACACTTCTTTCCGCCGAATGGGAAGGAGACGGTGAAATAACCACTGACAGGCGATGAGGCGAGGTAGACTGGTTCCTCTCACTACTGGATGAACGACAAGAGCGAGAACGGCTTCTGCGCATGCGCTCTGCGCAGTCAGGCGTAGAGATCAGCTGATTCTTGTCCGAAACAGATAAGCCAGGTTGCCGAGATAACTGGTCCGGTGAACGAGAGACAGAGAGCGTAGTTCGAAGGTCCCGCTGTGTAGAGGTATCCTGAGGGGTGGTGGCAGTCTCGACAACCACTACCCGGGACGTGGTCGAAGACGAAGGACTGGGGCCGGAATGTTGAGAGCCCAACAAATTCCGAATGTCTTCTGATAAGTAAGAATTTGACGACGCTCTCATGAAATCCTCTTCATTCGAGTGAGGGGACTGTGACCGCCGAGCAGACAAAGTAGGACGCTTAAACTTTCCTTACTTGGAGGGACTGGGTCCGTCAAGGGAAGCGGCATAACGAGCCCTGTCAGCAACACGACGAGGCCAAGCCGAGTGTAGTCACCAAGTCAAAACCTTGCATTTATTGCAGCGAGAGTCCCATTTACACTGTCCCATACAATCAATACAATATCCAGGTGGATCACTCGCGAGAGAGCGGCTTTATTACACGGGAGCATTTTTCCTCTTCTTTGGCTGGTCAAGTTTCCCCATTTTGTAGACTAAGTTGAAAACGTTGAGCAAAGCAAAATACGTCCACACTCGTGTGCGACAAGAAAGAGAATGATGATTCGGAGATAGTCACGTGGGCAGCTAGTGGTGCATGCCGCATGCTTTGCATGAGAGCTAGGAAGCTGTCTTATAATGAGGGTAGCATGGAGTGCTTGGGAGGATGGACAAGAGAGGCCTAGGGAAAAAAGTTTACATCGTTCCACTCAGTGTCGAATCAAGAGAGAGAGAAGTGCATACTGTGAGATAGGATAAGTTTAAAAATTTGCATTTATCATCTAAAAATAGCTACCACAGGAGATAATGCTTATCTAAGAACAAAAATTGTTGTCAAGGTGAGTGAGTGAGTTTAGTTTTACGCTGTACTCAGCTCTATTCCAGCTATATAACAGCCAATCCAGTGATCAACGGCATGCACATCGATCTACGCAATTGGGATATGATGACATGTGTCAACCAAGTCAGTGAGCCCGACTACCTGATCCATTAGTCGCCTCTTTCAACAAGCATGGGTTGCTGAAAACCAATTCTGACCCGGAATTTCACGGGTCTCCTCCCTGCAACTGAAACCAGCATTACATCTTACTTTGGAAGCTGATCAACAGGTATTCGGGCTTCAGACACCTCAGGCTCTGGTGCACTGAAAATTCAAAGAGAGGAAACAATACAAAAAAATATTCTAGAATTTTATTTCCAAATAATATACAGTGAAACTTCTGGATGGTGCTCAGGGTTTTATCAGATATTGTTTTGCATTCTCTACATGAACAAACTGTAAATGGGCAGAAGTAGTGAGTGAGTGAGTTTAGTTTTACGCCGCATTCAGCAATATTCCTGCTATATGGCGGCGGTCTGTAAATAATCGAGTCTGGTCCAGACACTCCAGTGATCAACAGCATGAGCATCAATCTGTGCAATTGGGAACCGATGACATGTGTCAACCAAGTCAGCGAGCCTGACCACCCGATCCTGTTAGTCGCCTCTTACGACAAGCATAGTCGCCTTTTGTGGCAAGCATGGGTTGCTGAAGACCTATTCTACCCCGGATCTTCACGGGTCAAATGGGCAGAAGTAATTTACATTAATAGTTCCAGGAAATGCAAAACCACTTGACTGTTGAATGAGTTAAATTAATCCAAATGGTAGACTGCATTACACATATAAATGTCACATGTATATTTATCAAAAAATAAATACCTATCAGATTCAAAGTTCTTCAAAGTTCAAAAAGTGTCAGTTCTTCAATGGAAATCATTAAACAATGAAATCCCCAAAGAAATAAATAGTGATGAAACACATAAGAAATCTTTGCTTAAATAATGTTTAAGTTTGTGGGCCCTTTCTTTTATTATGCTACTGTCTATAGTTGTCCCAACATGACTGTGTAGGGGCTTTGTTTTCCTGACTACCAGGCTCCACTTAATCCCGAAGACAGGCAAAACTGTATTTCGAAAAATTTTGGAGACTGAGATTTGCATTAGTGAATAAAACGCTGTGTTAAGTTAGCTCTAAATTTAAGAATACCTTGTTTTCCTGGTGATAAAAAGGATGAAGATGTTGAAATCATTTTGGCAACGAAGAATTGGCAGTGAATGGGTCCAGCAGATTCATCCAATCAAAAGGAGGATGTAATTCAATGAATTTTCAAGATGGCTTCTGTCATATTGTTTGGTTATAGATCAAGGTCACTCACTTACCCTTTGCCTCTCAAGCTTTCACAAATGGGACTGTCTCTGTTCACAGCCACATCACTACATTTGGTGCATCGTGTCTTGAATAACGATCCTGAATTTGAAAAATAACGATCTTCCTGGGTTAGAATTGGGTTACAGCAACCTATGCTATGTATATGAGTGAACTTCCTGGATAGGGTCAGTCTCGGTGACTTGACTGATTGCACATCATTATTTGTTTGTTCGTCATCCTCAGTAATATTGCAGTTATGGATGTCAATCTGTAAGTAACAGAAACTGGACCAGATGAACCAGTGACTGACTTGACGAACATCGATCAATGCAATTATGGGACAATGTGCTGTCAATTTAGAAGAACATGGCCGACTATGACCTTAATCTTCATAAGCGCTTCTTAATACAATGGCTGCCCAGTACAGTTCTATCCTCAGATATGAGAACCAAAGGTGACCTGTCTTCCACTTACTTGATAAAGTGAGTGAGTTTAGTTTTACACAACTTTTAGCAATATTCCAGCAATATCACCAGAAATGGATTTCAGACATTGTAACCATGTAAGGAATCGAACTTGGGTCTTCAGCATGATGAGCGAATGCTTTAACCACTTGGCTACCCCACCGCCCCCCCTACTTGATAAATGTACAAGAACCTGAACCAAAACAGAGCATTGAAACTACAGAATAAATTGAGATCTGTGTCAACTCTTCACTATACCAATTAAACCATAGCCGTATGGGGGTATCATCAGATACACCAAAATAGATTACTATCAAGTGACCAAGGCCCAAACAGAAAAAGAACATAAAACAAAAAGTAGAAATTGGTTTCCCAAATTGCACCATATTTAATGAATTACAAAACAAAATAGCTAAACCTATTAAAATGATTCACTACAGTTCTATAACATATTAACACAAGAGTCTATCAGCAAAACCAAAATAATAATAATAAGTACAGCAACAGCAACATTTAACATTACAGCAACAGGAACATTACTTCTCTGAAGTAAATACACACACATTCAAGTGTTAAAATAGTATTAATTCAGCACGTTTCAGTAAAAAGAGACAGAGACAATTTCAAGGACTCCGAAATAAGAAAGCCAGACAAATTCATGTTTAGTTTGACGAACCCTAGCTAAATGGTAAGCACAATTCTGTAAACCAAAAATGTGTTCTAAACCCCAGGGTCCAAGGATTACCTACCATGCAGTTCTTGTATATTCTGTGTCCCTGCGGTTCTGTGGAGCTCATCGATGTTCTGTGTAATGACAACTACACGACGCCCTTGTAATGCCAGGCGCTTCTCGCATTCCGCTATAGCTATGTGAGCCTATGGAGGGACAGATTTTGCTTAGTGAACTGAAAGTCCAGATCTTTGTTTCTGACAAGTCTAGCCTAAATTTCTCAGATTTTGACAACACTGAAATTGAAAGAACCATCACAAAATTTTGAACATAAATGAAAAATAGAATGACAAACAAAAGAAATAAAATGATCTCATAAAGATATGGCACAAGAGATTAATAATCATGATTATTGTTATTATGCATTATATTCATAGTAACCATGGTAACACATACCCCAGATTTTGGAAATGAGTGAATTTATATGTTCAAGCAAATAAAATCAATTTATTAACATGGTACAGTTCATACATAATGATATTATTTCCGTACTAGCCTTCACAAATTAAAAACCGCATCATGTCTATATTCCGTTTCACAATTTATACATCTCATGACTTTAGTGTAACCTTCCTTGTTTAAAAAAATCAACGCCTCTGTTCCAAATTTCATTTTCAATTAAGTCACTAAGACTATTTTTCCCAAATCCTAAACAATCAAAAGGCCTCTGTTTATCCCAAGACCTGTCTGTGTGTCAACTTTGCTGGATTATTTCAACATTTTTTCAAGATATGCTCTGCAAATGACATCTTGCATCAACAAGTGTGACATTATTTTATGTGCGCTTCCTTGATGTCCTGAAGCCAAGGGAGGTCACTTAGAGTGAGTGAGTGAGTGAGTGAGTGAGTGTGAGTGAGTGAGTGAGTGAGTGAGTGAGTGAGTGAGTGAGTGAGTGAGTGAGTGAGTGAGTGAGTGAGTGAGTGAGAGTTTTTTAGAAATTTTCCAGCAATATCACTGTAGGTGACACAAGTAGTCTGTCTCACAGTCCCTGAACCACATTAATTTCCCTACTGCCAAGCCCTCTCCGCAGTGCTAAAGCCCTAAATAAAGCAAGTCTAGATTTCCTCAGGTTCTGAATCTCTGGTCTCCCTAGGGCTCCTTTTCAATATAAATGGGCTTGTTTGTTACTATCAAAATTATATATATACGAGACTAAGCCTTAGTCTAGTGACACAAGATAAGGGCTTCACACATTGTACCCATCCATATTATGAAGAGTTTTGCTATAAAGCTCTTCAGCAGGCACCAGGATGGTGTCCAATGATGTGACAAATACTGAAGTAAGCTACCTACAGTGACTGACGATGGAAAATTACATTCAGAATCAAGAATACCAAAACATTGGTCCTAAATTTGGAAACTGACAAGCATTGTTTCTTATGCCACATTTGTGATTTATCTGGTAGTGCAAAGACAAATTAGGAAAAAATATATGTGGTATTTCCAAATATATCTGAATAATCATATTTTCACATAATCTGAGAAAATGGGAAATTCCATGTTCAAGTGGGTATTTCTTCTGTAGTTTGCTACAGACCTGGAGCCAAATATCAGTGTCTCAAAGCAGGTCTAAATGAAATCTATTTATATCACAGTGAGTGAAGTATGGTTAAATCTGGCCGGGCTAAACTAGTGGTTGATAGCAAGAGCAGCATTTATAATCAGCCAAACCTGAGAGCGTGACCTCCGTGTCTCCATAGTAAACAGCTCATATGGCATGAAGTGGACATGTTCTGGCCTTGAGTCTCTACATGGTCGCAGACATTGTTGACATTCAATCTCCACAAAAACATCAGTTATTTATTTCTTCCAAGCAGGGGAAGGAGGTGGGGTAGCCTAGTGGTTAAAGTATTTGCTCATCACGCCGAAGACCAGGGTTTGATTCCCCAAATAGGTACAATGTGGGAAGCCCATTTCCGGTGTCCCTCATGTGATATTGCTGGAATATTGCTAAAAGTGGCATTGAATTAAACTCGCTAACATTCCAAGCAGTGATACTTGCTTGTGTGGAAAAATCCAACTTACCGCATTAGGGCTTTTGCTCAGCATGACTTCTCGTCTGTAATGGTAGAACTCCCACACCAGAGAAGGGTTCTCCTGAAATGCTTCAGGGGTTGCCAGGTCCTGGAGGAGAAATGCCAAGATGTCAGCAGCAGAAATTCTTTGACATTTGTGTTGAGTAGATAGAGTTCTCATTATCGTGACCCCGTATATTCTGATTAGTGACTCTGCTGACCTACTAAGCTTTTATCATTTTACAACATCTTTTAATTCAGATCGGTCACAATTCATCAGTGTTCATTAGGAATAGCTAGACAGATCAGTAATCTGAAATATCATTGATGACGATAATCATTAATTATGTCACAGATATTACAGTACTTGAACAGTACTATTGAGATGAAATAAAGTTTAACTCTACACACAAAATATACACATATATGCATATCTTTTTTCAAGGCTGCATCTAAATTAGGCACAAAAAAAAGAAGGTCAGATTCCGGTAATCCGACCGACCCTATCCTACCGCGGACAACCTGGGGCCCCTTCGCTAACAATGGCAAGCGCCAGTGGGCGGCACTCATACATGCTAATACGGGTCAATTGTCAGGTTGGTGCTCAACTTATCCTTGTTTGCCAGAAGTTACCGGTTCTGAAAGGTGGACCCTTATTTCTTGTCTCAGACCGACCACAGATTATATCTTATTCATGACATTCACTTGAATGCATGTCAGAAGTCTCACTTCTAAGCTAAGGTATCTTTAAATGATAGAATAGGGATACATATTCATCATAAAATTAAAAGGATAGGGAAATTCGGAAACATTAACAGATTTATTCAAATTTTTTGATGCACCGTTGACACCAATATTATGCTATGGCTCAGAAATATGGGGAACTTCTTATTGTAAAAGTATTGAATCGGTACAGCTTGATTTTTTTTAGTAAAAGTATCTTAAAATAAATAGGTCATCTTGTAAATCCATGGCCCTGGGTGAATGTGGCAGATTGCCCCTGCAGCTTAATTATATGACCAGTGTAATCAAATATTGGTGTAGATTGTTCCAACTTCCTCATGACAGATTACCTTTTCAAAGCTACCTTATGCTTAAGTCATTAGATGATAGTGGTAGAACAACATGGGCATCAAAAGTTAAAAGTCTTCTTTTTAATTTTGGGTTTGGATAAGTTTGGTTGAGCCAAGATGTTGGTGATGTTAATGAAGCGGCCATAATATTTCCGAGTCCCGTGCTGGGATTCGAACCACAGACCTTCTGATCCGAAGTCGGACGCCTTGTCCACATGACCAAAGAGGTTAACCCTGACAAGGTAAGGATGTCATCTGTAGGATGACTCCACACCCTGCTACATACGCCCCTGTCAACAGAAGGCACGTCCCGGGCCGCATAGTTGAGTACTGAGACTTATTTTACTCAAATTTGACATGAACGTGCTCAGCCCCACGTTGGGCGCCAATGTAGCAGCCATAAAATTTCCGAGTCCCGTGCTGGGATTAGAACCACGGACCTTCTGATCCGAAGTCGGACGCCTTGTCCACATGACCAAAGAGGTTAACCCCGTCAGCATGCTGACAAGGTAAGGATGTAATCTGTGGGATGACTCCACGCCCTGCTACATTAAGATGTTTATAAGCTTATTTAAACAAAGATTATCAGATAATTAAAAACAGTCCTGGTACTCTTCCCTGAGTAATTCCTAAAAATGCAACTATTATCAGTATTTTATATCGCCGTTAAATGTTGAATGTTATTTATCGTTTACCCTTTCTACACATTTAAGAACTGTTTTAGCACCATTTAGGTCTAGTAATTTTAAAATAGCCTTAGAAACTGGGCGTTATAACAACACTGATTATAATCAAAGATTTTGTACATCATGTAAATCTAAAGGTCTTACCTATATTGAAGATGAATTCCATGTACTGTTCATTTGTGAATCCCATTCACAACTAAGGGAGAGGTTTATTACAAAATGTGTTTAAAAGCCTTATACTGTATATTCTTAAGCAAATCTTTTCAAGAATACTAATGTAGACACTGTAAAATTTGTTGCCTTGTATCTATTTTATGTTAAAAGAATTATATTAAACACACTTGAATGATCATTGTGCCCCTGACTACACTTGAATTTCCTTTTGAATGTATTTTGGGCCTACGGCCTTTTTACTGGAAATAAACTCTGTCTGTCTGTCTGTCATAAAAGGATACGGGAATGCTTTTACCTGAGCTTGGTACTTCCTCCAGAAGCCTCCTGCTCCCCTGAACGTGGGGACACCGCTCTCTGCACTCACTCCGGCCCCAGTTAACACAACTATGTGTTTCGCCTTTGCAAAATCCTTACGGAATGCTGCCATGTCTGAACTTGGTTGCTGAAATGAACATATTTCAAACATCTTCATTATCATGCATAAAGCCAATAGCCATGACATTTTGTTACAACATTCTTCATAAGCTTATATTTTCTGTAAATAAAGTATAAATATGTGATGAATTTCAATGATGATCAAATGTGGATCTTAAGGCATTATTTTTTTATTCCTTGGATCAGATTTATTCTTACAAAGTCTAGAGTTAGAAGAGGTGAAAGCTTATTCATTTGCAACAAGCAGGATACCTTCACAACTTTCAAACACTAAAAATGTGCAAACTGTCAGCTGAAATTCTTCAAAGGCATTTAGAAGTTGGTGTATTAATACAAGACAAATCTTATGGATAACAACTTCTTGATTTATTTTACACAACGTTTCTGGGCTGGTTCTTGCCCCTTCGTCAGGTGGAGAATGATCATAGTGAACAATACAGTTATATATATTGATGTACAGGAAGCCAGATATGTAAATAAGTATATACAAGAGCAAGGGGGGAAGGAGATATAATTAAGTATGTACAAACAATGCAGTGAGATGAAAGAGAAGAATACAATGATAGGGTATGTTTTTACAATAAGAACAAGAGTATGTTTACACAGCAGAGTGGTTTGAGAGTCTATGATTTCTTGGTGATGCACCAGGCGCTAGGGAGGTAAACCCCTTGATCCCTGTTGATCTTGGGTACTAATCTTCTTATATTGATTGATTCAAGAAGTTTTCTTTTGCGCCAATTACTGATGTTGGAAGCCAGGATTTCAGGTTGTTGCCAGTTGATTGAGTGATTTGGATTTTTGACGATGTGTTCTGAGAGAGCAGATTTGAGATCAGATTTTTCAATTGAAGGTTTATGTTCTTTTGTTGTTATGTTGAACGTCCGGCAAGTTTCTCCAATATAATTGTTATCCATAAGATTTGTCTTGTAAAACTGTCTGCTTTTCTCAGAAGGGAAAGGGAGATAACTTTAGCAAAGAGTGTATATCATTATTATCAAGGCAGAGCTCCAGGTAAGATTTAGCTCATGTGGGTATTCCCACTGCTTTCAAATATGTGCGTATTTCAGTCATTTTACTCACCTAAGTATTATGTCATTGAGTAAGTTTACTAAGCAGGTATGTTCTGCCTCATGTCATACCTAATCAAAACCAACTTAAATCTAATGGAAATGATTTCATAAAAAATCACTCATCCTATACTGACAGTACAACACTAGTCCTATACTAACAGTACAACTTGATAGCAATCGATGTCTTTTTCATTATGCAAGCGATTTTTATTAATATATTCTGTACGCATTTGTGTTAACCTTTTACGTATCTAACATTTTAAATGCGTAGTTGGAAAATTTCTATGCATATTTTACCCGGATACGCAGCTTATCTGGGCCTCTGTCAAGGAAAAGGAATGTAACTTTCAATTCATTATGCAACAAATCATCGGTGTCTGATCGACAAAATATGTCGCAAAATAAATACTTACCGATATTCTGTTAAAATGGACAGGAATTTGTGCTTAAGCAGAATTGTTTCAATCTACCGGTAACTAAACTGACCTAGCCAAAAAATTCAATGCTAAGTAAAATGTTGTACATAAATATACATTAACTTTCATTGAACCTTCTAAAAATTGTTGTAAATATAATAATACAAAACACTGTGATTTGGTTCCCCAACAAAAAGAAACAGGACTGATGTTTGAAATAATAACTGATGATGAAATACATGTAATATTGTCATACCCAAATCTACGAATACTAAAATCCATCTCCCCAACAAGTTCAGCCATGTTAGATTCATTTTCAGTTCAATATGTTATTGTTTGTAAATATGAGCATAAAGGGTTTTTCATGATGCAAATATGTGCAACTGGTACACACAAGTGTATAAAATAGATATATATGGTTTAAACATATTTATTCATTTAGGCATGATGGGATTGGCAAACAAGCAATAAAACATGCTTATATCAATGCCGCACCCTAACAATGATACAAGAGTAATAACAATAATGATAGTGACGTACACATGAGCTGGGTGCAAAACATACCGTAATGTGAATCTACAAGGAGCAATATTGACAATATAATGTGTTACAATTTGCAAACATACGTTGAAGGCAAATAAACTAGAAGCTGTTGTGATCTCAATATTACAGCAAGGCACGGCAGGTACAATAAAACTAGGCTAGGTAAATTGCAAGAATCTCTGGGAAGATATGATATAATTATGTACCGATTTTAGTAGTTCCAGATTTACCTGTTCTAATGAGCCTGAATGACCAAATAAGATTGATGGCAAATTAAATCCTCTACTAAAGAAGTATGCATTTTAATATGGGACAGATGAGGAAGAAATGAAGCGCATCTTCGGTGTGATGCCCACAGTTACATTCAGGACTATCAGATATATGTCTGGAAAACTTATCTCCATTTTAATCGCTACACCCAGGCCGAAGTCGGGAGTGGATTATCTGGCAAGATCTTGAACCATGGGAAAGATTAAAGTAGATTTCACTGGTGTAGTGTTCTTTTAGTTTGTTTTTGAATTCCCCAAGAGTATTGGCATTTACGATATCTGGAGGGAGAGAGTTCCAGATGTTTACCGTGTCAGGGATAAATGAATTGGAGTACAAACTAGTATTGCATTTAATATTTTGTAGGTCAGAATTATTTCTCAAATTATATCCACTTACAGATGATACTTCTTCTTGAACTAAACTAGACAAATAATCTGGAACTAGTTTGTTAACCATTTTATAAAATATGTATAATTTTTTACGGCGTCTTCTATTTTCAAGTGAAGAAATATTTGTCTCAGAATATAGTTTATTATGACTTGTGCTGCAAACAGCTCCGCAGATAGTTCTGATAGCGTCTAGATTTAATTTCTATAGAAGAAGCGTTTGCTTATTAGTGCAATTATCTAATACATGACACGCGTAGTCGAATATTGTTAAAATAAATGATTTGTACATTGTCTGCAGCGTTTTCCTGTTGAAGCGATACTAGTATTTAAAACTTCTTAGGCAGTTTATCATTGGACTGACTTTTTTTATGACGTTTTCAATTTGACTGTGCCACATACAATCTTGTTGAAGAACTATTCCCAAATGTTTGTGAGATGGGACGTCGTTTATGTTAGTGTTATCCATCGATAAGACTGGTTTGATATTCTGAATGTGTTTATGGATAAATTGAATAGAGACCGTTTTATTTGGATTAAAATCAACTTGGGCGTTATATTTTAGCCCAGTCTGATAGTTCACACCCTGGTATCCCATCCCCTATAACCCTACGTTGATTACGACACCTGTCTTCTATCCGTTATGTTACTTTTCCTGACATCAAATTTCTGGATGAGAAATGGCAATATATTCCTTCAGCTAGGAGGCTAAGATGGTGGAATCTTTTATTTTTCAATAACTTAATCATGTACAATATTCAAAACAGGTGACTGTAAATAATGTGTAAATCTTCAAAGACAATACAACCTTTTTATCATGAAAGAATAACATATTCCATTGTTTAATCTATTAGTCATATGATCATAAAAGGTCCGGGTATTGAGACGTGTACCTGGGTCCAACTAATTACCCACCTGTCCTGGGTATCCTGGTTACCCGTCCCAGCCCTAAATCTGAGTCATTTGGCAGTGTTAGGATATCGGTTATAAAAAGGGCCCCTAAATCTTTAGCTGTCAACATTAAGCCTGTTACACGACTCAGCTGTCTTGCATTCTGAGTTGATGACATCAACGTTATTTTGGGGAATGACAAGTCTTTAAGGATGATAAACTTCTTTATTGTATAACAGCGACATTTTGGTATAGATACTTACACCATTTTCATGCTTGAAAACATTATAAGGAATGGATCATAATTTATGGCTAGGGGGGTGATGATGAATTTAAGAGGTCACCCATTTTGCTCTGGGGAGGTAGGGGGGTCATCAATTTTGAACACATGTACTTAGGGGGTCAGCAATTTTGTATATAAATATATTTAAAAATTATGCATAAAAATTATGGAAAGAAGGGGGGAGGTAATTGATTTAGTACATGACATGAAGGGGGGGGGGGTCACTTACCATGTACATAAATGTTTGGGAGAGGTCATTCACATTGTACATGTTTCTTCATAAAAATCATCATAATCCCCCCTAGCCGTGAATTATGAACATCCCCTTCGTATCTCTACAGAAGCATCACTATTATACAAATAAGAAATTGGTGGTCATCCATAAAGACTTGTTAACCTATATTTACAACTTCTAGAATGCCTCTCAAACAGTTCATTGTTATTTTGGTTTGACTGCAGACAGTGGTGGGATCAAGTTAGCTATACTAGATACACAAAATGAATGCAGAATGCACTATTTGTTTGATTTTTGTTTAATGCTGCACTGAGCATTTTTCCAGCAATACGACAAGATGATGGCAGTCCCATAAAGTACGCTTGTTGTAAGAGGGGACTAATGGAGTCGGGTAGTCAGGCTCGCCGACTTTGATGAATGTCATCATAACCCAGATGCATTGATAGATGCTCATGATGTTAAATCACTGATGTGTCTGGTCCATTTCTTTTTCAATCACAGCCTGACAGCATTTAAAACAATGATTGCAGTTACAAGCTACAAAATGCATTCACAATGTTATGACTGTTAACTACACTTTTCAAGGTATTTACTGCAATTTGTTTTTTGCAGGAAACACATAGGAAATTGACCAAATAAAGAGTTTGAAGTTTAAAGGACAAGGAAGAGCTTTCAATTTGGCACTTTTTTATGTCAAACTGTAAATCTTTTCCATCCCAGTGAGCATGAAGATGTTGGTGCAGGGACACACTGTGAACAACCAAACTGTACAAAGCTTGCAACAATTTCCCTCTGCTTGATATTCCCTTTGAAATAACCAATGAATAAAAATGACTCAACCAAAATATTGGTGGAAGGTCCAATACAAGTCAGACAGTTTATTAATGAAAAGTGAACATCTATCAGGGATATACCTTGAGTCCTGTATTTGACTGACTGACTGACTGAGTTTGGTTTTACGCCGCTTTTAGCAATATTCCAGCAACATCACGGCGGGGGACATCAGAAATGGGCTTCACACATTGTGCCCATGTGGGGATTCGAACCCGGGTCTTCAGCGTGACGAGCCAACGCTTTAACCATTAGGCTTCCTGTATTTGAAGGTCCCTTGGACTCATACTCTTAATTTTCAGGGGCTCTGGACAACAAAATTGGGGTCCCAGACACTTAAATATTACTATTAATACTGTTATTGTATTGTGTATCATGATCATCATTTAAATTGTTACAGTAATCAAATTGCAAATGATACCATAACTCAGCCAGTAGCAAACCCAGTGATAACTTATTGTTACTTGATTGGAATATTTACAAAAAGTATTTGGACTTTTTCTGTGTTCCTTTGGACGCGTTAATAAATTTCGTTGCGTCCATTGTCAATTTTTATGCGCATAGAACGCAGACATTCGCGTCCCGCAAATCCCTGATCTGTGGATGTCAACTTCAGTAATATATTTATCAATCATCTCTTTCTGATAATAAAAGCATATATTTATATTAGTGTGCGTTGAGAATGTTCTTTACAATTAAATCTTCTCATTGAGCGAATACGATATTATTGCCGAATAGAAAAATGTTTTTCGAGAAAGCGTTTCATATGCACAGGACCACACACCACCCTGAGCTAATTACATGTTTTTTGTCACTAAAGTGTTCAGTTTAATTAACACAAATCGAACTTATGAATAACTTATATGAACTTATAACATGTAAGTAAATGTTCACTGACTCAAGAGATAATCTTGAGCCTATCCATAACTCACAAAATGGGGCGGTTGGGTAGCCTAATGGTTAAAGCGTTGGCTCGTCACACCGAAGACCCGGGTTCGAATCCCGACATGGGTACAATGTGTGAAGCCCATTTCTGGTGTCCCCCGCGGTGATGTTGCTGGAATATTGCTAAAAGCGGCGTAAAACCAAACTCAGTCAGTAACTCACAAACACCTTTCCCCATCCTTTTAAGAAAGCTGTATCCGCGTTTGAGGGCTGGTTATAGTTTTGATTTACCATCTAATGTTAACAACCGTTTATGAATCTGTAAATCATAAAATATATTAAACTTTAAAACAACAGAAGAATGTATTCATACCTGTCTCCCCGCCATGGCGACTGTCAAACACTTTCCTACCAGGAAATCTGTCGTCCGTGCCCACGGATTGACTTGTCTTATTAGACTGACACACAGTGACCCGGATCTTCGGGAGAACATTTAGCCCAGACTTCCTTGTGTGTAAAGGTTCACGCACAGTCAACAATATAGTACTTGACTATTCATAGTCCATCGTCATAAAAAAAGAACTCACAAATGAGTTTATTCTGTTTTGCATGTGGTTTTCGAACTGCTTGTGACTTAGGCTACCACTGTCACCATTAAACGATTACATTACGTTATGTGGTTTGTACCTAGACACATGCAAGAGACATTCCAAACAAGATCAAACAATCTACTGGAAACTTCAACGAATATTTGTCAAAATACCAAAAGTGACTTTTAACCGCTTTGATCTCAGACGGAGGTAAATATATTAGAGTTACTTCCCTTTGCACGATTCTGTCACAAGCTCCTTCCCAGCGCGTGACACTTTCACGACGCCCCAGCTGTGAGGAGCTCGAATCTGCAAATAAAACCATAATTTCACGTTCGTGAAACTGATTGAACAAGAAAAATCACCAAATTCTGGCAAAGTACAAAGAGTTGGAATATACAGTAATGTTTAGTTAAACACAAAAGCAAAGGAAAATATTCGAAGACACAGACAAAAAATAATTGTTTAAATATAAACACATAAAATACAGCATGCTTTTGGAAACAACTATATTTATCTATATTTAGAGAACGACCTGAGCCCGGTATATAATAAACTCGCACGCACTCGTGGAACAACACCTGCATCACTGAGGTAATAGATTATAACATTCCAAGCGAGTTTAAAATCTATAGGAAATATTCGATTACAGTTAAATATATATACATAAACAAGAGCAGGTATTTGGAAACAACGATACATTCGATTACAGTTTGCAGGGCTGGCGAAATTAAGTTTAAATTTATTCCGACAATACACAAAGTTAGGTCTTTGTTCATGGGATGCTTCTAAATTATGATTATTTTGTTAGTATTCCAAGTCAAAATGTATGTCAGCGATATTTTTTGATAATCGATCGATATTTAGTTAATATATACAGATAGCCAGCCATACTGGTTAGACAATGAAAGGGTGTGGTCGCGGTCGAACTAAATGACCGTGAATTGAAAAAAACATCACCAAAGCAATCGAATAGGAGTTCGATTACATAGAATAAGGAGTTCGATGTCTCCGCGTAGAAAACATTTTTCGTTTCTATTCTTCCAAGGTAAAATGACACAGAATATACTGCCTGGAACTCTCTTGTAACAGTTAAACTAATGATCGAAGTGGTATCTATCCTCGATGAGCATATTTCCCTTATCTTTTCGACTTCAGACTTGTTTGACACGTGTCATCGTATCCCAATTGTGTGGATCGATGCTCATGATGTCGATCATTTGATCGTCTGGTTCAGACTCGATTATTCACAGACCGTCGTCATATAGCTGGAATAGTGCCGACTTTGGCGTTAAACAACAAACAAACACACAAATAAACATATAAGCTAATCGTAAAGGCGACAGTAAGCAGGAAGGATACAATATCAACAAAAGTTTCAAAGTATTGTCCAGTTTCAGTGACGAGGAATTGAGACCCAGCTCAATATTAATTTTTATCATTTAACTGACCCATTCACTTATTAGTACTGATAAAACAAATTCCTCCGCAAATATTTGGACATATATTTGGAGCAACAAAACACCCTCGAAACGAACCTTGTCCAGCACTCTGAATTAACGAACAGAAAGGAATATGTTTCCATTTGTGGTAACTGTAATGCTCTTGTTGAGCTGCAGAATATAGAGTTATCCCCCTTCCATCATTGTGAATACCCATCCACAAGTCGATACATGTGTATTTTGACTGCGGGTGCTTGCGTGCGTTCGCGTCAAAACGATGTCGGATTGGCCACAGAACAGGGGGAAATGGTCTAGTGTTAGACGCACATGATTTTCTGACTTGCTTAACTGTCAATAATTAAAACCTATTGAGGGAGCTTTTGAGAGACTCAATCAAGCCATGTAGAAACATACATGAGACTTTACGCAGCTTCAGAGTTGCCCTGCAGTTAAAACCAGTTTGTGATATAGAATAGAATAGAATAATACTTTAATGCCTTTTCAGGAATTTGTGTTACATCAGCAGAGCTACTGACACATTAGAGAGATACCAAACATATTTACATAAATTCTTTGATTTAGGTATCTTCACATTTGTTTAAGAGAGATATGGTACTTGGAATAAAGGATGTACGGGCTCTCTTAGTTTTCACAATTGGAACTTTGTAGCGGCGGCCTGAAGGGAGGAGGTTGTTTCCGAATTTAAATAGTGAGTACGGTCAGATATGATTTTGACAGCTTGATTCACGATTTGCCGCTCATATATTGATGATAAACATTCAAATCTGACTCCAGCGATTTTTACTTGCAGTGTTAACAATTTTGTCTATTTTAGATTTGAGATGAACTGAGAGAGACCCGTACCAACAATGGAAGGAAAATGTTAAAATACTCTGAATAAATGCTACATAAAAAGATGACCTCTCAGATGGGTTCACATTAAAAGATCTCAGTTTACGCATGAGATGAAGACGTTGTTGACACTTTTTGTATAGGGCTTCAGTGTTCACCCATATTGAGTGAGTGAGTGAGTTTAGTTTTACGCCGCACTCAGCAATATTACTATACGATGACGCGTGTCAACCAAGTCAGTGAACCTGACCACCCAATACCGTCAGTCGCCTCTTACGACAAGTATGAGTTACTGAAGATCAATTATAACCCGGATCTTCTAATCTTTATTAGAATGTTTTAACTCATTATGTTTATTTCATCCTCTATGATGCAGGGTAGTTTATGGATAAACACCCTGGACTATTTCACTACTTCTTTTGGAATTCACAATCTCTGTCTCCCATATTTCAATCTGAGTAATGTATATCTCTTGCTCACGAGTGAGTGAGTGAGTAGGGTTTCACACCGTTGTTAGAAATGTTACAGCAATATCAAGGCGAGGACACCAGAAATGGGCTTTAGACACTGTAATCATGTGGGGAATCGAACCCGGATCTTTGGTGTGACGAGCGAGCGGTATATCCACTAGGCTACACAACGGCCCATTCGAATACGAAAATATTTTTATTGGTCATATATTTTTAATATATAGTTGCAATTGTGTCCGAAGTGCCCTCACTTTCTATTATAACAATGCTGAGATATTTTACACAGAAAAACGCCCCTGAAAATATTGTTTCTGATTCTTAGTTGACGCAAAAAGACGCGACGACATAATTTGTTGCTTTTGTTCCCACGTAGAGACTGTCACGGTACACTATCTATCTATCACAATAATACTGAAATATTTTACACAGAATAACGTCTCTGAAAGTATTGTTTCGGATTCTTAGTGTAGGCAAAAGAGACGCGACAACGTAATTTGTCGCTCTTGGTCCCACGCAGAGACTGCCATGGTGCACTCAGTCTACCCCTTGATACCACGTAGAGACAGTCATGGTGCACTCAGTCTACCCCCTGGATACCACGTAGAGACAGCAATAGTGCACTCGGTCTACCCATGGATACCACGTAGAGACAGCCATGGTACACTCAGTCTACCCATGGATACCATGTAAAGACAGTCATGGTGCACTCGGTCTACCCATGAATATCACGTAGAGACAACCATAGTGCACTCGGTCTACCCCTGGATACCACGTAGAGACAGTCATGGTGCACTCGGTCTACCCCTGGATACCACGTAGAGACAACCATAGTGCTCTCGGTCTACCCCTGAATACCACGTAGAGACAACCATAGTGCTCTCGGTCTACCCCTGAATACCACGTAGAGACAACCATAGTGCTCTCGGTCTACCCCTGGATACCACGTAGAGACAACCATAGTGCTCTCAGTCTACCCCTGGATACAACGTAGAGGCAGCCATGGTGCACTCAGTCAACCCCTGGATACCACGTAGTGACAGCCATGGTGCACTCGGTCTACCCCTGGATACCACGTAGAGACAGTCATGGTACACTCGATCTACCCCTGGATACCACGTAGAGTCAGTCATGGTACACTCAGTCTATACCACCCATGGTGACTACCACCCCTGGTACCACGTAGACAGTCATGGTACACTCGGTCTACCCCTGGATACCACGTAGAGACAGCCATGGTGCACTCGGTCTACCCCTGAATACCACGTAGAGACAACCATGGTACACTCGGTCTACCCCTGAATACCACGTAGAGACAGCCATGGTGCTCTCGGTCTTCCCCTGGATACCACGTAGAGACAACCATGGTGCACTCTGTCTACCCATGAATACCACGTAGAGACAACCATGGTGCACTCTGTCTACCCCTGGATACCACGTAGAGACAGCCATGGTGCACTCGATCTACCCCTGGATACCACGTAGAGACAGTCATGGTGCATTCGGTCTAACCCTGGCTACCACGTAGAGACAGTCATGGTGCACTCAGTCTACTTCTGGATACCACGTAGAAACTGCCATGGTGTTTTTCTGGGTTCCCTGAGGCACCGGCCTGAGACAAGCAGATGAATAACAATTTACTTCTTATGTCGACACGTACAGATGGTAGCGGCTTTGTATAAAGAGCTATTTTTTTGCATTTAAAGCACAAATCACGCAATGCATTAACAATAGGCCATCTGCAAAGCTATCTGTATATAGGATGTTTATCCTCATTTAGAGAATGGCGGCTGTTGAATGGGGGTTAACATACTCTTTATCTAAACATTACTGTCCTCTAGAACGAGAACATGGCTCTTCAGCATCAATATGTCAATTCTAAAACACATCAGTTTTCCGTAAGCCCAAGCTCATTTCCAAACGTCGACTTTTCCGAATCGAAATAAAAAAAGAATGAAGTTGTTCATTGCAATGACTGATTGAATCTTTCCATGTTGTTTGACATTAGCAAGACCGAAGGGCATTACATTTTCTAAATTATGTAAGCTGATTCGGTACAAAAGTACATAATTATCGTAAAAAGTATAATTATATCCTTCAGGATGAGAGTCTCAGGATAGACACACGCATAGATTCCCATGACCCTCAACTCCTTGATCTCGGTACTGACACAAGCTCGGGATGCTAGGCTAACACTAGTCGGGGATTTCAGAGTAGACACAAACATGGGTTCCAACAATCTCCTTAACTCCACGATATCAGTCCAGACACAAGCAGGAGCTCGAACAGTCTCCTGAACTTCGCGATCTCGCTGCAGACAGCTCACTACATGGGAACTACATTGGTATAATCAGACACAAACATGGCTTCCTCGGATGTCCTTTATCCTTTGGTCTCTGTGTAGACAAAAACATGGTTTCCTCGGATGTCCTTTATCCCTTGGTCTCTGTGTAGACAA